ACAACAAAAACAAAAACAAAACAACAACATAACATAAAAAAGCAGAAGAATTTCGTGACACTTGATAAGAAAGTTCTTCTCTTCATGAGAGAATCAAACTCGCGTCTTCTGCGTGCTATTGTGAAGAAGCTCCTACTTGAAACTAGATCTTTTAGTAACTAACCGGTACATGATCACAGACGCGGGTTAGTGGAAGAGGCAGCAAAATCAGTGAAACTTGTCCTGTTCGCATAGTTTAGCCAGGGCCAGTAATGATTGAAGACTGGCATAGCAAACGGCGAGAGAATTATATCCCCCCTCTCTCCCCTCCCTCCCTCCCTCCTTCTCTGAAACACGCGCTGCTGGATGGCGGGTGGCAGACGCGGAGGAGCGGAACACGGGAGGAGGAGGAGGAAGAGGAGGAGGAGGGGGAGAAGAAACTGCCCTCGCCCGAAGAAAGAAATGTCCCCTCGCCGCAACCTCCCTTCATAACTTTAAGCCAATGAGCGCGCTAGGTTCATCGTGTAGCGGGTGTAATGGGGGCACCGCGTCACTCAGTGCCGCTCCGCGCAGAACTATTTCGCGAGCGGTTGCGCACCGAAATGTGAAAATTACGCTTTTCCAAAGCTACTAGAACACAAAGTTAACATCAGATACCTTCTTTAATAATTTTTGTGACAGTTTTCAAGAAATTCGACATCGGTTTAAGTTTTCCTTTTCCAGACAGGTGCATCGCTTAGCGCAGTAATTTCACCAAACAAACTGGGGGTACGGAAGGCAGTATGAGTAAACTTTGTGTAGTGTGGGAAGCGGGGGACGAGAAAGTTTTTAGTGTGTTCTTCCTGTGGATTATATCATGATTTCTGAGGATTCTACTATGTTGTGATGTGGATTATACGGAGAATTCTTCCATCTATGTTCATCGGAAGGAGTATTCCATACGATCTGTGAGCGATGAGGTCTCACGTGAAGTTTTTGGTCGTATTTCTCGGAATACTTTCATTAGGGACCCTACCCCTAGCCAAAGGTAAGAGCAGAAATAGCATTCCGTTACAACCGAAGCGGGCAGGGGGAAATGAGGCTAGCACACGGCACCTACCTATCGGCACGAGGACAGCTCGAGGGGGGAAATCATACCTGCGTTACCTTGAGTTGAGAAACTAAGAAAGAAAACATGGATATCAGGGGAATTGAAAGTTGGTTCGGTGTCTTTCATTTTACTTACCAAGTTTTATCTGAGCACAGGTTCACAGGTGCAATGGGGGGAGAGCAAAGTAGCAAAGTTTGGGGAAATTTTCACTCAGGTAAATTCTAGCAAGAATGGGAGCGACGATACTATACTGAGCTGCCAGTGAAAGAAAGTGAAAAATCACCCTTTTATCTTCATTTTTTTTGGCTTCCTTTTTTTTACACCTAACCGGGGCCCAAGTTATAGTAGAGGTCTAGATCTAGTCTACTGTAGCTTAGGTTTGGACCAACTAACGCAAAGTTTTTTTTCTTCTTTACTTTTTCATTACATCATTATTGCTACTCACGCTGTCGTCTTACCTTTTAGATCTAAATCTAGATCTAGAGTAGAATCTAGATCTATATCTACTTTTATTTTTGT